AGGAAGAGGGGGAAGAAAAAAGAAAGAAGAAAAGGAGAGAGGAGGAGAGGATGATGGTTTTTGCTGAGGAATGACCCCTTGTTCAGAAAGGGCTGTTGATCTACAAACAGGTGGATCTACCTATATGCTTGGTTGGCATCATGACACTGAGCACACAGGAGCTAAATAAAGCACGTAAAAAAAGGGTGGATATGAGAGCCAGGAGACTCTTACAACAGTTACTGTTTATGGCAAGACCTGCTTGTCCCAAGGGACCCATTTTCACATAATCTATAATTATCTCTTCGCTTTAATCGCCTTGTCATTCCTAAGGCTCTCCTGGGCACTGGAAGAGGAAAAGCTCATTAACTAAACCTTTTCTCCTCTCTCCAGCCACCCATGGCTTTTAATTGCTTGGTGTGTTATTATCTAGGAGTGCAACTGGGATCATTTTCATAAGAAAGGGAGGTAGAGAGGAGGAAGGGAGCCATGAGTCCCTGAGGTATGCACCACAGAAAAACCTTTGCTTTCTCAATTATTTATGCCAGCTGAGGTTTTACAGGCTGAATAAATCCATAACTCAAGTTCATTCTGAGCAGTCAGATTCTCAAGGGGGAGTTGCCCACTTGCCTATACACACTTGTGTAGTCCTCAAAGAATAACCAGAATGTAACAAGACATATGTCATCCAATTTATCACCTATCACCAAAATGTTAACACAGTGTTGATCATGGGCAACACAGTGAAATAGGAAAGGATTTCACTACTACCAGCCAAACAGATGTAGGGAAGCAGGATAATCTTTCTGGTGCTGAGAAAAGTGGTATCAATGGTACAGTAGTATCCCAGAACGACTTAGCCAATTGAAAGCAAAAAAATCCAAATATTCAAATTTTAAAATTAAAATATGTATAACACATACTCTTGAAACTTTGGAGTCTTACATGGATTTGTCCAAACAGATGGCTATCTAACAATGTGAAACTTTGAATAAATAACTGAATGGAATTTTATACCATCTGATTTTATAAATCACTTAATAAAACAATATATGTAGCTTTTTCTCCAATTACACCTCTTTCAGGAAAATTTTAGAGTACAATTTATGTGTAAGGGATAAGCTTTTATGCTTTCATTCCAGTTCATATTTTTACCAAAAATACAAAATTAAAGCATAATCACTTTCATTGTAGTTTATTATATTTATATTATGCCACTTCATAATCAGAACTAAAGAGCAGCCAATCAAAAGATATTTATAAAATATTTTCAAAATCCAATGTTGTTTAAAAATTTTTAACTTTATAAGTCAATGATGAAAGCATCTCTTTAAAATTCTACAGGCTTTTGTGTCTGACCACAGCAGTGACCTCTGGTATTTTCTGCCAAAACAGTTCATTTGTCTCACAGAACAACTAATCAATTCCAGAGCCCATCAATCATCTTAGTTGTATGCTGGTCTGGTCTTGCTTAGAGAAGGTCCAGATGGCTGCCTGTCTAAGTGGGATTAATAAAATTCTGATAGATTACATAGCATCAAACTACAAAATTTAACAGGGAAGACCAAATCTTATTGCAGGGTAGACTGGACATTGTACATGCTTCATTTATTGTATTTTTAATTCTTGCCCTAATTTCTCAGTCTATGTGTCAACTTCTAGATAAAACCTTCTAAGCATACAAGTCACCAAAAGTGATTTCTTGTTAAGTGAGTCAGTATATGTAGTACAGAAGCATTTGACTCTTTGCAAAGCCCTATGCTTATTAATCAGAGCTTTTTCTGCCCATCTGCAGTATAAATGAAACACATCTGATCTTAAGATTAGAGCAACTGTCTGTGAGTTCAAAGATTTGTCACTCTTTTGTTTCTATAGTTCCAAACATAGATTCTAATAGTACTGGCTCTTCCTTTCTTATTTTCCATTTTCTCTTGCAAAAGCAAAAAACCTGTACTTAATTCTAGAACCAGACCAACATGTGATTTTAGCTCCTAACATAAGCCCTGTGCTCTGGGTCCCTGCTGTGGGAGTTCTGTGTCGAATAACAATACTAATAAAAGTTCACAGTTACATAGTAACTTATTTTGTGCTAGATACTATTCTAGGATGCCTATGTATACTATTCATATGATCCACCTAAGTGTCATATAAGAAAGGTAATATAATTACCCCCATTTTGCAAATAAAGTAACTTGTCTATGGTCACAGAGCTAGTAAGTGGTGGAACCAACATTTGAATGCTGGCAGTTTGGCTTCATAGTATTTTATATTTAATTAGCCTCACACTACATCTCCTCCATTACACTACAGAACAATTAACCAGCTTCATAATGAAAAACTGGTGTCAGGGGGTACTGGGGTGGCTCAGTCAGTTAAGCAGCCGACTCTTGATTTCGGCTCAGGTCATGATCTCAGGGTTGTAAGATCCAGACCCGCATCAAGCCCCACGTTGGGCTCTGCGCTTATCACGGAGTTGGCTTGTCCCTCTCCTGCCCCTCCCCTCCTCTCTAAAATAAATAAAATCTTTAAAAAAATTGGTGTCAGGGCTCTAGAATATTAACACAGAGATCTGTACCTATGACATTATATTGTCACTTTCTGTGACAGAGGAGAAATAAGGGTCAGAACCAAAACAGGCTCAGAATTGGCCCCAGTGGCCCTTGGCTCAAGCACATTTACAATAGAACAAAAATGGGCCTTACCTTATCACCTACAATGCACATTAGTCAGGAAAGCTGCCAGAACAATGGAGCCCAAGCCTTATTAAATGAGTTTATTAGATACTGATTTTCCTGATCTTTAAAAATTAAAAAAAATTTAGAAGACTATATATATTAAAATACCCAAAACAGACCTTCAATATACTTTTTTAGGGGCTCCTGGGAGGCACAGTCGGTTAACCATCCGACTCTTGATTTCAGCTCAGGTCATGAGATCAAGTCCTGGTCAGGCTCCATGCTGAGCATGTGGAACCTGCTTGGGATTCTCTCCCTTTCCTTGTGCCCTTCCTGCTCATGCTCTCTCTCCCCCTCTCTAAAGTAAGTAAAGAAATAAATACAAAATACTTTTTTAGTGTTCTTTTTAAAAACACTGGTTCTACAGAACTTTTCCTTTCACCTAAGTTTACCATTTAACCTTTCTAAAGCTCTAAAACCTGTCACTTTCACCTCAGCTGAACTTAATTCTGCCAAGAAACTGCAATTAACATCAGTTAAAGCACAACTTCCTCTTGGAAAAATAAAACACCAGGTATATTTCACCTAAGTACAAGCAAAATTTGACTACATAAACGTCAACAAATAGCCTATATTCATTGTTGCAACTGCATTCTTATACTTCAGAAACAATAGGGATCACATCTGATCCTTTACTGAAATAATCCAACATTTCAGTTTAATTTTTATCATGATCTAGTTTATTATAATGGAATTCAGTTTAATTACAAAATGATTTCTTGAATATAAGAAAATGACTAAGTGCTGTGATTTCTGATTTGCTATTAATAATGGCAAAATTAATGTTTGTAATAGTTAAAAGGCTTTCAGTGGTTCACATTCATGTTTCCCACTGTTTCATATCTTAATAATACGTTCCAGAATATAGAAGAAGGCTAAAATTTAGATGACTTAAAAAAATAAGGCCAAGACAAAAAATCTTAGAAGAATGTGTCACATGACTTTAAAGCAGGACAAAATCCTTTTCCTGATTTTCACATAGTGCTGAAATATTATCAAAGAAATTTTATACATAACATATAAAATGTAAGATCCTTGTTAAATAATACAAGATGACCATTAAGAATTTTTAAAATTGTGGTTAAAAAAAACCCCACATAACATAAAATTTACCATTTTAATCATTTCTAAGTGTACAGTTCAGTAATGTTATTCACATTGTTGTACAACCAATCCCCAGAAATTTTTATCTTGCAAAATTGAAACTCTACACCCATTAAATAACAACTCCTCATTTCCCACTTCCTCCAGCTCCTGACAACTGCCATAGTTCTACTTTTTGTTTCTATGAATTTGACTACTCTTGATACCTCCATATAAGAGGAATCATACTGTATTTATCTTTTTATGAATGGCTTATTTCACTTAGCATAATGTCCTTAAGGTTCATCCATGTTCTATAGCCTGTGTCAGAATTTCCTTCCTTTTTGAGACTGAATAAGATTCTATTATATGTATATATACCACATTTTGTTTATCCATTCTTCTGTCGATGGACATTTGGGTGGCTTCCACCTCTTGGCTATTATGAATAGTGCTGCTATGAACATGGGTGTGCAAATAGGTCTTTGAGATCCTGTTTTCAATTCTTTTGCATATAAAACCAGAAGCTGAATTGCTGGATCATACAGTAATTCTTTAATTTTTTGAGAATCCTCCATAATATTCTCTTTAGTGTACCATTTTATACTCAACATGATTTTTAATCTTTAAAAGAAATAATGCTAATTTCACAATGACAACAAAAAATTTAAAACTTTTTTTTCTAAAAAAAGAACATAAACATATTTAGAAATTGTATAAGCTTCATGGGACTGAATCAACACCTTCCCTTACATACTTCAGTTCAGACTGGAGCCATACTAAAAAAAAAAAAAAAAAAGGATAATGGCATTTTTATCAGTATTGTGAATAAACCTAAACACAAATATACACACACTCACACACACAAAGAAATAAGGTATTCTGAGGAAAACTAACACCAACAACAAAACCCCACAGCTTCAGATTGTGTGAGACACAAAACCTTGCCCTACCAACTACTTATGTGGTGGGAAAAGTTACTATCTGGCACTGACTCAGACACTTACTGATTTCAAAGATAATATACCTAAAAAATTCTTTCCTATTTATTATACTACTAGAGATACCACCAAATTAGTTTCATATTAAGAAAAAGTTCTTCACAGATGGAAGTTTTCAGAATTAAAAATACACACACACACACACGTATATACACATTTAGATGTATGTATCTCTATTATCAAAAACCAGAAGAGAAATTACCTGATGATTTCTTCATGATACAGAGAACTAACAACAGGCCCACCAAAACCAGTATTTGCTTCTTTTCCTTTCTTCTCTGGTGACTGTAGGAGGAAAGAAGGTGAAAAAAAGACACATGCATTAAGGCAGTGTGTATTTAAAATAGTTATAAAATACTACCTTGCTAAGTAATACTAAAGATTTGAGGTCCACCATTTTTCTAAGGCCTTAGTAACAATTTCAAGATGCTATCCAAAAGGCAAGATGACCCTCAGGTCATCAAACTAATGGAACGAGTACCCACTAGCAAACCAAGGTCATTTCACTACTGTGCTCTTGAGCCACTAAAGTCCACCATTCCCTTAGCTGATTATGTCAGCTTTGTTGACTGTGGAAAATATTGATGCTCAATGTAGAAAAATGAAAATGAAATATCAGTATCACTATAATTATCAGATGTAAATGTGATCATGAAAATCATATCTAGTTAGCAAAATTAAAGTTTCCAAATAAGAAAAAAACTAAACTGTAGTAAAACTTCAAACTCAACCATAAAGAAAAATAAGTTAAATAAATAAATAAATAGAAAATAAAAATAAAAATAAATATTTTTAGGTGGCAAGAAGGAAGGAGAGAAGGTGGGAGAGGAAAGGAGGTTATGATCTAAAATAAATGAAAAAAGACTCATGAATAAATAAATAAAAAAAAAAATCTTTAAAAAAAAAAAAGGGGCGCCTGGGTGGCTCAGATGGTTAAGCGTCTGCCTTCGGCTCAGGTCATGATCCCAGGGTCCTGGG